CTCCGAGGCAATGGTACAAGAGATTTGACTCATTCATGGTGTCTAATGGTTATACTCGTAATCAGTTTGATAACTGTGTTTACTCGAAGAAAGTTTCTACTGATTCCTTTGTGTATCTTTTGTTGTATGTGGATGATATGTTAATTGCAGCTAAAAACATGACTGTAATTAATGACTTGAAGGCTATACTAAAGGGTGAGTTTGAGATGAAGGATTTGGGTGCGGTAAAGAAAATACTTGGTATGGAGATCTGGCGTGATAGAGAAGCATGACGGCTATGGGTTTCTCATGAAAAGTATATTGAGAAAGTTTTGCAAGCATTCTCTGTTGATCAATCCAAACCGGTAAGTACCCCTTTGTCGGCACACTTTAAACTTGATCGAAGCACTATACCGGGTACAGATGAAGAGGTTAGCTACATGAAGATGGTTCCATATTCAAGTGCAGTTGGAAGTCTTATGTATGCGATGGTATGTACGAAACCGGATCTCGCTTATGCGGTTAGTGTGGTGAGCAGGTTTATGGCTAATCTGGGTAAAGATCAATGGGAGCTGTAAATGACTGAAGGTATTAAAGAGGGTATCTGATTACATGGTCTGGTGCAGAGTTTGGAAATGAATGTGGAAAAATTGGTGTTATTCTGTGATAATCAAAGTACTTTGAGTTTGGTTAAAAATCCAGTGTATCATGAGAGAACCAAACATATTGATGTAAGGTTGAATTTTATTCATGATGTTCTGGAGGAAGACAGGTTTTCTATTCAGAAAATAGCTACATAACACAATCCAGCTGATATGTTGACAAAGGCACTACCGACGGAGAAGTTTGAGCACTGCTTGAACTTGGTGAATATTCGCAGAAGGTAAAGCCCTTTCGGGGCATCTGGCAGGAAGGAGACGACTGAGAGATACTGACGAACCTTCGGCGGTTGGAGAAACTTCAAGTCAAGGTGGAGATTGTTGAAACGTGACTTGGATGTAGCAGTCTACTCGATCCGAAAAAACCAAAGTGAAAGGGCTATTTCAATTGGCAGGGTTCCTTTTGGGTTTATCCTAATTAATAACAAATAGGCTTAGGGTGATTTGGGGTGCTTATAAATAGACAGCTATAGTTCTTAGTCGGATGACATAATTGTAAATATCTGAATTAGTATAATAAAATATCTCTGGTTCCTGCCAGTGGAGATACACTGTCACCGAACCACGTAAAATCTCTGTGTTCTTTATTTGCTTTCTTTCTCGTTTTCTCATAACAGTACATAAATGGCTAATCCATTCAAATTACAACATGTACGACATAAAGTAGAATTAAAATCCACTCAGTTACTAGTCTTAAGCCCTTAAATCAATGATTCAACATAATACACAGTACAATGACGAGATGGACAATCGAAGAGAATTATATATTCTCATAAAATTACAAACAAACATATTAGAATTACAATTGAAATGCAAATATTTATTATCATCATATAGTATAACGTGGACATCTATTTCCTTGAACGATGCTTGTCAATAATCCACACACATGAACACCTAGCTTCATTACTCGTACACGGAAACCTTGATATGGTATTGGACTCACTTACACAAAAATATTTGTTTGTTTTGGATCAAAACCACGGTGGGTGTATACCTTTTCATCGTCTCGCCACTGTAACTATTTTTCACAATGCATATATTTATAGTATAATCTTGAAAAATTGTTTCCACTTTAAGATATTTTTAAAACTCCTTCTCTACCACATGAACGCCGATGCCATGGAAATAATTATTTTAGATTGTCTACACCAAACATAAAAAAAATAAAAATAAATAAGGTCTTTAATTTGCAAAATAATGAACTGCATTCAAGGATTTGACCAATCAATCAAAGCAATTAGAAAAATTTAAACGCACTAAATTTTATACTAGGGCATGATAGAGAAATAAAACAAAAAAAAAAAAAAAAAAGCATTCATAATTTTTTCTAACACGATCTTGAAAAGAACCATACAAATCCTCAATCATATCACATATTGTCGATCAATTCAATCTCTCTTAATAGTAGCAACACAATCACATTTATGATTTCATAATAATAAGTAAAGCTAAACAATTACAATGGATTTTGGCTCAAAGGGTGGATTTTGGCTAAAAATAATTAACAAAAAAGGTCTGAGTTATCTTATTCAAACATTAAAAAATGTAAACCTTAAAAAAAATAATAATAAATAAATAAATAAATAAATAAATCTGAAAAGAAAACAAAGCAATACCAACTCATAAATTCAACCTTGTACTACAAGAAAATTAATTGCAATCGCCTCACAATATTCCATTCCCCATTACAGCATTCCATCAACCCAATTAACATCTCAAACCAAACAATATATGTCCAGACTCGAAATAACGACAAAAATCAAGCCTAAAGCATAAATAGTTTAATAGGCAAAAAAAAAAAACCTAATACAGAAGAAACAAGAAAAACAAACCTAAAAACAATTACAAAATTGTGCAGAAATCATACCTTCAGTTTTGGCTCATGTAGGTTTCGGATTGTCGATTTTCCGACTATGATTCACAATGTCAATCACCTTGTCCATTCAGAAGATCGATTCTTCAATCTTGTGAGGCGAAAAAACAAGTTTGGGAGGAATGGATTTGGGAAGAGAAATGGATTCGTAGAAAGAGGTCTAAAAAGCTGCTTGTTTTGTTATTGCCCGTACGAAAATGAAAGATCCCCGTTTTCACCTATTGTGTTTGAATTTTACAAGGATTAGATCAATGGTATAAGTGGCCTGGACAAGTCACTTGAGGCTTCTGACTCGAGGATTTTTCTGTATATATTATTGTATTTGAACTCCGACCCAATTCTCCATACTAAATTTATCATTGTTCTCTTTGCCTGAAGGCTTCATCACACAAACCGCTCTCCCCGAGCTTTTTTTCTTTTTCTCCTTAGTGTCTTTCGATCACATGGCCAAATTTTATTGAAAAATTATTATATCGCAAGAATATCAAACAATTATCGAAAAATAAAATTTGACAATCAAAATATTTTATCGAAATAAATTTGAGAATCACGTCGAGTCAAGGTAAACTTCTCTTTGTAAAAACAAATATGCTCCGGTGGTGCTTTCGGTTCGTGGCGTACGTTCATAAAGATAAAACGACGTTCATCTTTGAATTAGATGACACCCCAATATTTCAGAGTTCCAGAGAACTAAACTGAAGGGACGAGCTGTGTCGAGAAGAAGACTTCCCCGAACTATCGCCAGAAAACTCACTGGAAAAATACTCTTGAAATGAAAGAATTATAGAAGGAGAGAAGAGATGTTCTCTTCTTGGTGGTCCTTGAAGAATGGGGTGGAGTAGACGTTTTATAGACACTCCACCTTTTGGGAGAATTAAATTTCCCTAGTCAAAATCACTCGACAATAAATACTTGAGCCGAAACCGTCTGTAATCGACGACGAATAAATTTCGGTAGCGTTTGACTATAAATATTAAATTTAATTCCAGTCATAAATATATTATTTGAATGTTCGAATTTCAAATAATTATCTATCATACATGCATGTAATTATAATTTTCTAGACTATATTTTTGTTACACATAAATATATTTTATTGGGTTTCAACAAAATATTGTCTCGATTTGGCTCTGGAGCATAATAGACTTCGTCAAGCCTAGCATTCACTGAAGACCTTTGAGCCTGAGATAAAACTTATACTAATGTACTTGTATTATTATCTAGTCTAAACAGGTGGCACCCGTACCTGTGGCGTACCGGCATTCATATTTTTAGCCACACTATTAATAACCACTATACAATTCACATGCATTTTAACTCACCGAATAATAAGTTTCGAAAATTATAAATTTATTTCAAAATTAAGTTTTATCTATTAAATAATTAATCGATTTTCCAACTTTAACTATTGGAGCAAAACGGCCACAATTTTCTCCAATGGAGTTCTATATTCTAGCATGGCTTTGGTGGCTTTTCTTGTCATCTGTGTAGTTTGGTCTTTATCCAGTCTTGCTCCATCCTTACGACCGGGTTCTCCGCCTACTCTATTTTCCGATGTGGAAAAAAATATTTGAACGTCGCCGCTGGCAACTCTAATACTGTTAGTTTCCTACAATGCCGGTTCAGGACCTAACCGGCTCCATGATCCGCCTAACCGGAATTTCTATGACAACGAAACTATCGTAAATTATCCATTTGCATGTGATTAAAAATTGAGATGAAAAGAAGAGATAGTGCCTGGAGCAACACCAGTTGTTCTTAGCCAGAGCTGAGAAACGAATTTTAATGGTGACCAGCTCTCAAGCGACATAATGCAAGAATCCTATCGGTGATCATCTCCTTCTAAAGAACAAAGTCGATTACTGTCGAAGATGTTCTCTTTTTGGTCCAAAACCCCGACGTGAAGGTAGCAATGCTCGCCCACTCGGAGGCAGAGTAGATCTGGTGGATCATCTATACCACCACCGCCATCGTCCTCGTCTTTGTTCCCCTCCACATCCTGAATATATCCAGAAAGGTCAACACATAGTAGTGTTTTCAATAATATTTCAGTGCCGACTATATTTATACGACTGTTTTTTTAACACGGTTGTATTGGTCCAAATAAGATGTCACATCATAATATATTATGTCCACCCTCTGCGATTAGTTTTGTGAAAATGAGACCAAAGCAATTAAAATGATGTGTTTTGAAGTCGTAATTAATGAGTTACTTATAATGAGATATGGAATGATTTATTTAATCACAATAAAATTAGTTTTGATTTTAATTTTTTTTTTTTTTTTTGCCTTGCTTTCTCGTGAATGTATGTAGAGCGAGAGAATAATATTTATCGTCCAACCCAAACACATCTACATAAATATCATTAATTGGACCAAACTAAAGTGGTAGATCAAATTCCGAAGGCCCAATCAAAATTAGGCCACCCAAACGCCGACCAATAAGGAACTGACACGTGACATCACGCCGATAAAGGGACTTCCCGTTCCCGTGGTTGAGGAACAACTCATGGCAGCGACTCTGCAAAAATGGCACAAACCTTTGTTCCCGTTCCGCGTCTCGGTTCTACACTACAGGTCCCTAACCTCGAGGTCTTTCCAATTCAAGGCCAATTTCCGATTTCGCACCTTTTGTGCCGCGTTTTGCAGCGATGCAACGCGACCTTCGGTGAAAAAGCTTGCAAATGGTCATTCTAGTGATGGTACTAAGCGTAGGGAACATTCTGGAGAAATTAGAAAGGAGCTATGGCTGTATAACACGATGAGCAAGCAAAGAGATTTGTTTAAACCGCGGGTCGAAGGGAAAGTTGGGATGTATGTTTGCGGCGTCACCGCGTACGATCTCAGCCACATTGGTCACGCTCGGGTTTACGTTCATTTCGACGTGCTTTATAGGTATTCTCTGCAAAATTATTTGAAGGTTTGAATGAATTTGTATTTTGGTGGATGTGTTTGTAGTTGCTCCTTTGCTTCAAGAATGATTTTTTGACCCCTTGTTTTAATTGAGAACGTCTTTGGAAAATGTGAACTGTATGCCTCTCGATTTTTTCATTTCTAACCATTTATTTGTTCATTTATCCTTATGGTTATTTGTGATTCACTTCTGTGTGCTAGAACTAATTGCACTTTCTTGATTTCTTTGCTTTCCAAATTAGGCAGATACCTCAAATTCTTGGGATATGATGTAAATTACGTGCGCAATTTCACTGATGTTGATGACAAGGTGAGTTGGATGAATTGTAGATTTTTCTGGTGCTTTTCCCTTTGCTTTGGAAGCTGATTTCTGAAAATTTAGAGCTTGAGCAATTTTGTAAGGCTATTAGCTCCAGTGCTGGTAAAAGAAATCATAGAAAGCCTATTTAAAAAGAAACTTCACAGTAAAGGATGGAAAACAATTTCTATAAACTTGTGAAGTAAGGGCTAAGTTCTTATAGTGCATAATTCTCATTTACTTAGTGTGGCCAAACTGTCGGAATGAAGTCCTTGTAAGTATGCATCCTACGTCTGGAGTTTGCTACCTTTATTTGATTTGATTTAATTTTATTTAATGAGGTAATACTGCACTTATTAGTACCGCATACTTGCAGATGACAAGGTAGCTCTGAGTGCTTTTGCTTTTTGTTTCTCTATAGATAATTGCCAGAGCAAATGAGTTGGGGGAAGATCCGATCAGTTTAAGCAGAAGATATTGTGAAGAATTTCATCGTGACATGGAATTTCTAAACTGTCTTCCTCCTTCTGTGGAGCCTCGTGTATCGGATCACATGCAGCAAATCATTGATATGATTAAACAGGTATTCTCTTGATTAATGATATAAATTACTCTGAACTTTCTGTTCGATCTGTTCCTTTGTCTGATGCTTATATGGAGATCACTGTAGTTTACGTCAGTATCACAAAGTTGAGCTCCCTTCTTTTAGCCATCAAAGTGCTGTGAACCTGTGATGCTCAATTTTTCAGCTATAAGATGCAACTCAACTTTCAAAACCTCTTCTGTGATGTGAACTTCTGATTCTCAATTTTTCTTTGATCTGTTTCTGCTAGATACTGGATAATGGGTGTGCATACGCTCTTGACGGGGATGTTTACTTCTCTGTGGACAAATTTCCAGAGTATGGTCGGTTATCTGGACGGAAATTAGAGGATAATAGGGCTGGGGAACGGGTGGCTGTGGACTCAAGGAAGAAAAACCCAGCTGACTTTGCATTATGGAAAGTGAGTTCTTACGGCCTATGATGTGTCAGGAATCCTTGTTGAGATTTATATAGCTTTGAGTTTCTCTGGAAAATTTTATTGCGACACAAGTCAAACCTATCATTTTAGATTGTTCTATTAGGCATTTGTTGGGTGAATAAACTTATGTTTACTAGAATATGTTTTATGCAGTCTGGTACATCTACGTTTCAGAATTTTAATTTCCATTATTGCAGTCAGCGAAGGATGGAGAACCTTTTTGGGAAAGTCCATGGGGTCCTGGAAGGCCTGGATGGCATATTGAGTGTAGTGCCATGAGTGCTGCTTATTTAGGTTATTCTTTCGACATACATGGTGGTGGAATGGATCTTATTTTCCCACATCATGAGAATGAGATTGCCCAAAGTTGTGCTACGTGTAACGAAAGCAGTGTTAGCTATTGGATACATAATGGATTTGTGACCATTGACTCTGAGAAGATGTCAAAGTCCCTTGGCAACTTTTTCACCATCCGACAGGTACAGTGAATGATTTAGAACATGTCTCGTCTCTCTCAAGCATACTTTTACAGAGTTAATTTTTAGTTTTTTGTTTTGGATCACTTACTCTGGTTTTTTTTTTTTTTTTTTTTTTGGTATCAATTTTCAGGTTATAGAATTGTACCATCCACTTGCTTTGAGGCTCTTCCTCATGGGAACTCATTATCGCTCCCCAATTAATTATTCTGACCTACAGCTTGAGACTGCCTCAGATCGTCTTTTCTATATCTATCAGGTATGGCAGTATTCCTTCCCTGTGTAGACATGAAAATACTTATTTGTGTACCAATCTCTTCACTTGTTCTAATTGTCATCAGTTTCTTTCTCTATGAAGATTTTCTTTCCAACTTACATTATAATTTATGTTTATGAATAATTGGTTACTATTATGACTGAAATCCCTAGCTTTTCTGGTCGACTAATTGGATTGCCAATTAATTACAGAACTGGGCAGCCTTATATAATCTAGGATAATTAGAATTGGCCTGTTGCTTTCACTAATAAGATTTTCTTGCCAATCCTATCGTAATCCTTAGTTTATTAATATTTGTCTATCATTATGTCTGAAAGTCCCTAATTTCTCTGGTCATCTAGTTGGATTGCCAATCACACCACTGAAAAATCTTAAGTAGGAGATACCAGGATAGTTTCTCAGCACACAGCGACTATTTTCGAAAACATCTCCCCCATGTTTCAACTGTATTCAAATTGTACACTTATATTCTTTCTCTTGGCACTAATACATTTTGTATACATGCTGCTTGCTTTGTTATTTTTTCATGAACATTATGCTGCAGCCTAGGTTTTGAATTTTTGTTTTGATGCTTGAGCATGCAAGTTTACAAAACAAAGTCAATGCATATTTTGAGAAGATTCGAAATTTGGTTTAGTTTTTAAAATTTTTTAGAAAATTAATAAAATTAATCAACATATTTATGTTAAAACAGTTGTAAATATACTCACAGTTCTAAATGTTGCTCCATGGCGCAGCCTATGGCAAGGGGCGCCACATCCAGGGGTGCCATTGCAATGCCACATAGTGGAAGTCGGAATTTTAACATCATCTATTTTAATTTACTAGGGTTAATTAGGGGCTTGTGTTTCTTTCATTCTTTTGAAAACAAAATAAAACAAGGATAAGGAAAGTTTTGTTTTATTTTTCTTTCCAAGTTTTTTTGGCTTGTCGTAGCTGCCCCCTTGTCTGCTGTTTTTCATGTCTCCTTTTTGCCTCTCACACTTCCTTCCATCTCCCACCATGCTGCCGGGCTTAGGCAGGTACGGCTGCTGGCAACCGCAGCTTCAGTTTGTCATATAAACTACCTTTTACTCTTTTCTGTTAAAGTTATTTTATTAATTTTTTGTTTTAAATATTTTAAATAACATACTCCAATAGTTAGTTTTGTTTATTGAAATATTTTGTATTAATTGCATGTATGTGTTATATGTAATAAAAATGATTTATATTAAAAGTTAATAGTGTGCGCCATGTGCCCATGCTGATCTGAGCCATAGGCCATTTGCAAAAATGTATATATTAAACCAACTGATACAAAAGAGTGTGCAGAACAAGTTAGATAATCATATGCTTTATACATTTTATTAATGTTTTCTAAATTAATATAATTTTTTTGGCTGGTGATTTTATTCTTTTTTCTTTTTATTTATTTTTTGATTAATGGTTTGAATGTGATATTTTGTGAGAGGGAATGAATACTATATAATATAGAGAATCGCGATAATTGAATAGGATAATTTGTTAAAAAGAAATAATCATGAAAAGAGCTAACCTGCAATGTTGGGTTTCGTTAATGGTTCTTCCTACAATAAGTTGAAATTTCAGGAATTTCAACCAAAGATTGAGACTACGGCTGCAGCATTGTTATAACTGCAATTGCTACAACCAAAGCACGATATACAACTATAGACAAGTCTTTTATGATCCGTGGCTCTACTGTCGTTATACTTTTCCTGGCTTGTATAATAGGATTCCCTTTGGTGTAGGCATTACACGATTGCGAGAATATCTTGATGATGCAAGATGAGAACAGTTTGAAGGATTCGATTCCATCAGGAACTGCAAGCTGCATAGGCAAATTCAACAACGAATACTTGATGTCATTGTGTGATGATCTCCATACTCCAGTAGCTTTGGCTGCAATGTCTGAACCGTTGAAGATCATCAATGATCTCTTGCACACTCGAAAGGTATCTTTCGCATTCAATTAATCGAGCAGCAGCACTTTTAAAGTAATGCCTTTACTGTTTCTCCCAAGGCACCAAAACTTTCTCCTTTGTAGGGTAAGAAGCAAGAGTTGAGAGCTGAATCACTTGCAGCATTAGGAAAGGCAATTGCAGAAAGTCTTGATGTTCTTGGGCTCTCCCCGAATACATACTCCGAGGTAAAATAAATTAAATGGTCGCCACTACATCCATTTTTGTGCGATGAAAGTTTACCATGTAGAAGTAAGTGGTCCTCATGTTGCAGGCGTTGGTGCAGCTGAGGGGTTATGCGCTGAAGCGGGCGAAGCTGACAGAAGATGAAGTTGCACAGAAGATCGAAGAAAGGAATGATGCAAGAAAGAAGAAAGAATATGAAAAATCGGACAGCATCAGAAAAGAGTTGGCCACTGTAGGAATTGCACTGATGGATAGCCCGGAGGGGACAACATGGAGGCCTGCCATACCTCTGCCATTGCAAGATCCACAGACTATTTCTCAGCTTAGAGATTAGAAGAAAATTGCATCACACTTGATCATTTTTCTTGGTATAAATTAATTGGATGTTGATAATTTATTCTTAGTTACACAGACAGATAATTGTGTTTCTATCGGTCATTGAGATTAGAGCGGTTAACGAGTCGAGTCGAGTTTTAAATGTTCGTATTCGTTCGTTGGGCTTTCGAGCTTGTTCGTAGTGTTTGAGCTTGGCTCGTTAAGAATTTTTATTGTTTGAGTTCGTGCTCGGTTCGTTTAAGCTTGATTAAGTTCGTTCGAGTTCGTTTGTTTCACTTTTTTTTAATTTACATAAATTAAAAAGAAAAATTAAAATTATTGCGCGTTTATTTATTTTAGATTTATATTTTATTTATTTATAAATTATATTTTATATGTATATATAATATTTATAATAAATCTATTATTTTAACGAATGTTAAGCTCGGGCTTGTTAATGTTCGCGATCAAACTTTAACCGAACTAAATTAAACTGAGCCGAGTTCACGAACGGCTCGATTCGTTGAAGAGCTTTAATTGAAGTGGCATTGTAGTATTTTTGAAGGATTGCAAAACGTAGGAAAGTGGAATGGCAAAAACATTGAAAATAATGGCAAGTTGAGGCAGTATTCAACAAATTAGCAATAATATTATGTATGTATGTATGGTTTACAGTGATAGTCTAGTCTCGTAACATTATTATTGAGGTTTGCAGGTAAGGTTCAGTGGCATCTTATCTCTATCTCTTGTGTATCTTATTTAGACCAGGCAACAGATTCAATCTCTGCTTGGGCAGATCTGTAGAGCTCAAGTCTCTTCACCAGAGAGCTTCGACGTTGCATAATGGCCGGATCCTCATCCAACAGCCTCCCCAACTCTCTCACCTAAAAGTAGTACAACTAATCATAATCAGATTCAAAATTCAAATTCATATTGCATTGCATTGCATCTGAACCTGACTCGCTCACCTCTTTTCTGCCTAACTCAGTGTAGAGATGATCCAGCAAGCTCCGCTTTGCCTCGCGAACTTGGCAGTAAACCACGGATTTCGGAATGGAGTTCCTCAGGTTTGCACAAACCATGTTCACATAAGACAGCACAGTTGATCCTGTGGACAAACAAACAAATGTTTACTATCAGGATGGAAGGAAGGGAGGGAGCCAAGAATGTTAAGTATCCCACGATGTTGGATGTAATGTTGGGATTCTCCTACATTACAAGGGGTGAAGGGTTACTCCACTTACAACCAATTAGTTTTAAGTTGGAACCCGGAATCCCCGTCTTAACATGGTATCAGAATCATGGTGTCCGTATTGGGTTTAAATCTTGTATAGAATTTCGAGATTATTATCTCGAAGGGGGAGTGTTAAGTATTCCATATTGGTGTTGGAACCCCGGATCCCCATCTTTACAAAGAATTGTAGAGACTACAACCTGGTTTTAAGTTGTAACCCTGGATCCCCATTTAACATAGTATCAGAGCCATGGTATTGGGTTTGAATCCAGTATGAATTTTTGAAATTATCATCTCGAGGGGAAAGTGTTAAGTATCCCACATTGGATGTAATGTTGGAGCCCCGGATCCCCGTCTTAACAAAGAATTATAGAGACTACAACCGATTTTAAGTTGGAACTCGGATCCCCCGCTTAACAAAGAATTGTAAAGATAATGAATGACTCACCAATTCGTCTAAGGTATGCATCGTTGTATCTGTCGAATAATGAATGGGTCGGGTTGCCCCCCTTCTCCACATCCTGAGGAAGCTTGCGGAAGAACTCTATGGTTAGGTAACTGCACTCCATTTCTACTAGCTGAACCGTTGCCCTCCTGCTTTCTTCCTTCATCCTCTCTAATGATTCTACCGCAGCGCTCCCAACTTCCACCCGAAGAGACGGATATTGCTTCAGCTCCTGCACCACCCAACACAACCACCAACAAATTTATGTTATCTAGAGTTAATAATAACTCTAGAAAGTTAGCTAAGTAATACTACTCATTTGGCGAAAGTTTACAACATACCGTTGTCTCACTTATCGACTTGTTCACAAGCTCCTTCAATATTGCATGAACCTGAAAAAATGAAAATAAAAACACATTCATGTTTATCAAGGCAGGCAGTATATGTTCTGGCAATCAGTTCAATTCATGACTAAACACATCATCTAAACTCATTCTAATGTTGCACTAGTTAGTTAGTATCAACCAACAAAGATCTACAGAACTAACTATAGACTTATTAATAGTCAAAATTGCTTATAACTCAATTTGTGGTTTAGAAAGCCAGCAACTATATTTCTATATGATTTAGAAATTGCAAGAGGTTCATCGTGATTTAAAAACTATTGCATAAAATTTCCTAAAAATTGAGCAAGTCCTTATGTGCAATATTTTAGAAAATATAAGAGAGTCGCGGCCAATTTTTAAATTATGAAAGAAATAAAATTATGACTTTTCAACCACAGTAGGATTATAAGCAATTTTACCTTATTAATATTAGGAGCAAAGGCAAACAATTGCTGTCTCAGCTGGACCTTTGATTTTCAGAGGAAGGAAACATAAGGAAAAGCTACTAATTTTAAATGCATTACATACAGCATCAACTGCTGCCTCAGCTGGACCTTTGATTGAAATCAAAGCTGTTTCGATCAGACGGCGGTAACCCTGTTCAGGAGCTATAAGATGAGGTTGGTATCCATCAGCTTCAGTGATTAATTTACGAACATTTTCCATTGCTAAATGCTTGTCAAAATGTAAGCGTTTTAGTGCAGCCGGCAGCTGGTTATCAAAGACGGTGTATATTTTATCACCACCTGGCCGTCTACAAAAGCACAAGAAAATAAAAATATGATATAGTTAGCATAAGTAATCAAATGTGTCGCCGGGACAGAGAAACCAAGGGAAAAACATACACTCCCTCGAGATGCTCCTTGAAAATTCCATCAAATGTGCGGCATATTTCCATAATCATGTACAGTTTTCCCTGCAAGACCAATTAAGTTTACAAGTGAACAGAACATCCTCTACAAAGAGAAGCTAAAATCATTTTCATTTTTTTAATTGATTTATTAAATTGGCAACAAAAATAGAAACTCGGTAGGAAATTCTCTGATTTTGGACTTACACCAGCATCAGTTGCAATAGGCTTTCCCAGTCGACTCAACTCAGTTTCAAGATCAATAATGGTTTTGTTGATGAGTGATTGAAGGCCTGGAATCCGAGATTTGATGACGGATTCCAAATGCTAGAAAATGAAGTAGCACAAATTAGAAAAATAAATATGAAGATATTACTAACATGAAAGATAAGCAACAGTAAAGTTACTTTAAAACACACCTATAGACTTTATAAGAGTACCGGGTATAAGAGGATGTGATTTAATTTTTAAGGTAGAAATAAAATGTAAAACCATAGTGTGAAATCTAGTTTGAATATATCATTTTAAGAGAAATTTTCAACTAAATTTCAAGTTTTCATTTTCGGAGGAACTTGACAAGGTTTGCCTCTATTATGGTAATCTTACCTAAATCGAAAGATATAATGGCAATGTTAGAGCGTGATGGCTACTAACCCGTGACAATATTTTTCCAAGGTACTCAGAACCCATCCTGTCAGCAAGATGGCTATACTCGGGCGTTTGAGAAAAATACTCCCGTTCTTTTCTCCTAGCAGCAATCATGTCGACACTTTTGTTAATATCAGCTTGTGAGCGATTAACAACACCTATCCATGGGAACTGCAGCTTATACGATCTTCCTTCTAAGATCTGGAGAAACAAGAGTACCAATGTGATCATTCATCCTCTACAAATTAAGCATTTCTAGTAACATGAACCCAATTCAATTTCATCCCTAGTCCAGTAGTATACCAAGGGAAGGAACAACTCCCAGGGGTTGACAATAAGTTATTTCAAAACGGACTATTTGCCCCTTTCGTTAGATGTGTTCCAGAATGGAAATATGAAATGGAGTGATTGTAAATTCTGAGTTCTTACTATTTCATAAGTGCTGAAGTTTATAAAAATAATAACCACTAATATTTACCCAAATAAAAACCAACAAAACTTATAGATAGACATGTGGAAGTATTCAAAATAATTATAATGGATGAGAAGAAACTCAACAACAACAAAGGAAAAAGAGGACAAAGAAGGAGATGACTTGATAGCAAAAGACGAATGCAGAACCATGTCCTACACTACCAAGGACGAGGGAAGATCAAACTGTGATGTTATATGGAAAAATATATTGAACATTAACTTCCTAATTAGCTGCTGATATACATAGTGCAATAGACGGTCAAACTAGATAGTTTTCCTATTCTTATTTACAATGAACTATCGGTGGAAACTAACAGAGAAGGGATGCACTTCAACTTACATCCACAGCATTTGTACCCTGATCCATAAGATCAATCTTTGTTAAGACTCCAAATGTTCTCTCTCCTGAAGTAAGACCAACATATCTCAGATAAAGCACTTAGTATAGACTGTATAGTTATGATTTAAAATAGGTATATAAGACATACCTTTCGGATCCACTTCACGAGAAATCTTAATAGCATCAGATGTTGCAAGATCTTGGTTGGCAGGAGAAACTGCCAATATGATACAGTTCGGCTGCGGTTGATATTAGAAAGAATGAATGAACAAAACACAATGAACAATTTCTTAAAAAGGTTCAACAAATCTGATGTAAGTCATGCATTCACCTTGGAATCTAAATTTAACAGGTAAGGATCATCAAAATATATAATTACCTTCTCTATATAGGATCGCACCATGTTCTCAATATCTTGCACGGTTGTTTCCAACTGCCCCTCTATGATAAAAGCACAGAAGAATCATCATGTTCCTTCTAAGAAATATACATTATCTGGATGTGTGTTTACTGCTTAGCTAGTAAAAACAATAACTATAAAATCAATGAGCAGTGGACAAGAGAGTACCAACAGCAACTTTTGTAAGGCCCGGAAGATCAATCAACGTGAGATTCACAACTGCAATGGTAAGAAATATGCACATTATTCCCTGCTCTATAAGCACAGAAAAAAAAAAAAAAAAAGGAAAAAACAAAATTGCACTATAGTTTGTTTCGTTCATACAAAAGGTTTAGAGTAATACACGCCAACAAAAGGTTTAACTCGTACTGTTTTTCGGAAAACTCTATTTATTCTGGTGTGGATGGCAGGCAGGCCTATATTTCTTGGTTTTAATAGGACTCTTACAAGTGTTGTTTCTATCTACTATTATCTAATAATAATTAAGTTATTAATGACTTTGACAAAAACAAGAAATCACCCCTCACGATGCGAAATTATAGAAGACCGTCTCAATCTGGAACTTTGGTTCTCCGCAGAATTGGTGTCACTTTATACAGCATATAAAACAAAACCTGCCTCAAACTTAGCAATTCCAGCATTAGGATGTTTCAGGTTGTAGGGGTCCCTGGAATATGTTGTAGGAACTTTACATGCTACAATGGGAGAGACTACTTATGCACAATTGTCTAGGGCATGCTTCTTATGTGTTATTGTTAGGATAATAACCACTTTATGTTATTCCTCCAGAATCAATACATACCAGTGTATAACAGTTCTCAAAATTGTGGTAAATCACGAATTACGCAACACTAATATGTGTTTGCAAGATACTATGCCCGTAGATTTCAATTTAGTAAGAACAGGACTAAAAGGCACGCTCGACTCACCATTGGGGGAATAGATACTGAGATAAATGGGAACAGAAGACACTTGTTTAGTACGACCTGTCTCGCGGTCAGTCTCATCAGATATTTCCTTTCTCACAGCAGCTGCATGCAGAAGATTATCAGCAAAATTTCTTACAACTAGAAGTATTATATTGAAAACAAACTGATAAGAACAGGAATGCAACATAAGTCTGGAAAATTTTTCTGAATGCAGGCTAGAATGAAGTGCTGATGCATAACAAGGGCAAGCCTCAACATAAAATATAACTACATTTCAAATCCATAAAAATACTTACCAAAATCAGTAAATCTTTTCCTAGGAAGATGTCCAAACTCTGCATATTCTCTACCTTCTTCGATCCGATGAAGTTGTAACACAAGTGGACGCCGAGTAACAATGCCTACATATATGCAAAAATAAATATATAAAAATCAATTCACTTCCAGTATTGTTTTGCTGTAATTAAGAATTACCACCGAAGGTTAGTATAATATTATCAACTACAAATGGTGATGCAGCATCAATACAGCTAAGAAATACCAGATCCACGAGGCAGAAAATCCTTCCCAACAATGCTCTCCAAGACCGAAGACTTTCCAGAACTCTAGAAAGAAACCATAACATTTAAGTGTCACTTAAACCACAATCAGCGACTAACAAATTAAGTTCGATGAAGAAAGAAACACAATCTAGACTGTAACAAATGAAATGCATGAAGATCACTCTCAGCAACAACAATAATTATAAATGTGCGGCAAAGCAAAGTATAACACCAAACACACCATCTGTCAATCCCCTAACTTGGTAATTACACTCGATACATCAGATATGCTGAAGGAATGCTAATTGTTATCTTAAAAAACCCTCAAAACCGAAACAATCCGAAGAGTTTTATGCTAATTTCCTGCAGTCCCTGAGTTTAAGTATTTCCTCAATGCTATATATCTAGCACCATCTTGAAACAAGAACCTATTATTATACATTAAGACATACTTATGTCATTCGAACGCCTAGAATAAACTAAACATCATAGAGGTAGCAAGCAGAATATGAAAAAGAAAGAGCACAATATTCATAAAACTATAGCAACAGAGACAATCTCTCACACATGCTTTCTGTAAGATATACAAACAGATTTTTAATAAGAATGATCCACAAAAGAGAATATCTCCACAAACAAATTCTGCATTCGAATCTTTAAGACAGATTCGGAAGAAATGGAATAGACAATGAAATAAACACAGAAAACCAATCCCGAAACATTTAACAACAATACAAACAAGGTCGAAGAGAAAATTATGCCTGAGACCTGACCTGACCACCAACGACGGCAATTTGAGGCAGAGCATCCCAGAGAGTGGGCAATGATGAGCCACCCTCCTCTCCGTGATCTCCAAGCGCTGTGCACGCTCTTTGTAGTCTGTTCACTAATGATATTAGGTTCTCCATGTATATGGCAACAAAATGTCACCTGCCCCTCCCTGTCGGCGATCTCAATTCCGTCCGAGAATGTGCTGCTGCTGCAGCAAGCAATGATTTCCAGAAAAGGAAAAATGCAAATCAGATTAATTACAAAACGAGAACGGGTCGGCGCGGCAATGGCGAAGGTGAGGCGATCTTGTTCTACGAGAACGGAAGGAAGCACGGCACGACCATGTCCGTTTGACTTTCATAATTTGAAGCGAGTTGCGGCATCCATGCACAACTGGGCTACCATTGTAGGATTAGCCCAAAAATTTGGACTGGGCCGGTTCAGAAACCATAGCCAACCGCATCATTTTTTTTCAATTCAAAAATTTAAAATTTTCGAATTCAATATTTACAAAATTAATTCCAATTTGATTTTACCATCTTTAATTTTAATTTAAAAATTCAAATAATTTTTTTTAATATTATATATATTTTTTTTATTTTTAAAAAAATTACTTTATATAACACAAATTCACCAAACGTTAAAAAAAAATATTTTTTATTATTTTATTTAATTATATTAGTATAATATTTTAAATAAATTAATAATTTTAAATTTTCATAATTCAAATTTATTATATTTATATTGAATTATGTCAATCCAATAAATACTGAATTCAAATTAATTTCGAATTGAGAAATTGAAATCCGAAAATATGAATTTAAAATTGAATTTAGTCAGAATTTTTCTAAAATTTTTTTTGAAATAACCAAATTCAAATGTCCGAAAATTATCACTTTTGTTTTTTATGCACATACCTAATTTTTCCATTAAATTCATAGCAACAAAATATATATATATAATCAATTTCAAAATATTGTTATTAATATTATCATAAACTAAAAATATATAAAAATTGTAAAATATTGAATAGTATTTATAAATTTAAAATATATATATATAAAATAATATATAAAAAATATTGTTTTATTTTGAAAATTATGAATGACTGCAATTCAGCAGCTCATATGAAAATAAAAAAATATAATGTATTTTTAACAAAAATAAAAGGATAAATTATATAAAATTTCTTTTGTTTTTAGTAAAAATACTTACGTAAAACTCCTTATATTATGTAAAGTTTGCACTTGAGTATCTCAAAATTGACATTTAATTTTATACAAATAAAACGGATAAAATATTTTAAATAATTTATTTATAAAGTAATTTATTAATCATTTATTTTATCTTTTTTTAAGACAAATTATTATCTAACTGTTGTAAAAACTACAGTATAAAAATAAAATTATTTATTTTATATTTTATTAAAAAAAAATATTTAAAATATTTTACGTTTGTATAAAACTACTAATCACCCAGAGGTTGCTATATAATTTACCCAAAATAAAATTACGACTCGAAATGATACAAGGCCATTGTTCTTTGGCTGTAATTTTGTTTGTAGCATAGAAGATGAACGCCACACTGATAATAATATGATGGAGAGCTTTGCTTTGGATAATAAAGTGGGGCAGACGCAGAACAAATCCATTATCTTCTAATCCAAAAAAGATATCTCTTGAATCTTCTGGTGTCGTCGTCTCGTGCCCTCCAAATGAAATGAGGAGATTAATAAGGTCAAATCCCTGGACAATCAATCCGTGGGAAGGATTTTCGAACAATATGAGTAGAGTAGAGTAGTGCCAAACATCACTCGCTCGTCAGTATTCGCATATTCCCTACCTAATTCGTGGATGCCTCTGCCTCTGATCGAAAACATTATGAACTCATCAGAAGTCAGAAGGCAAAAAACAGTCTCGAATCGAATCCCCCAATCTGTGCTTTCCACATAGCTATCTATCTACCTCTCTCTCTCTCTCTCTCAGATTCAGTGCTCTCGTAATATGCCTCCCTGTTCTTGGTTGTTTCTCTTATTGGAATTGGTTTTGCTGCTATCGGGCGGAAACTTCTTATTACTTGCCTGCTGCTGCTGCTGCTGAGTTGCTGCTATTTTCATGGACTCTTTCCTCGTGATAAGTTCCAGGTTCAGGGGGTTCAGTTTGATTAGTTTTTCCAACACTAGCCTCTTCAACTTCAGATGTTCAACAAGGCTCAGGAAAAAATCTTCAGTCGCTGTCAAATGCTCCATTACGCCAAACCCTAATTCAAATTGGGGCAACTACCGCTTTCCGATCAAACCCATCTCATCTCTAATTCCATTTCTGAAGAAAGTAAGAGACTTCGCTGTGAAATCCTCGAAGCAAAAGTGGGTCTCCGTTTTCCAGGTGCAGGAAACTGAATTCCTGCAGAATGGTGCGTTTGGGACGGCGCTGATGAGCGTGACGGCAACGGCCAAGGTTAAAATAAGCCCCTTCGTGGCTACCTTAGCCGCTAATCCGACATTTGTATCGGGTTTGTGCGCTTGGTTTGTGGCTCAATCGATGAAGGTTTTCTTGACCTTTTTCGTGGAGAAGAGATGGGATTGTCGGATTATGTTTGCTTCGGGTGGAATGCCTTCTTCACATTCTGCATTGTGCACTGCATTGACTACCTCTGTTGCTATCTGCCATGGCGTGGCTGATTCTTTGTTCCCAGTTTGTTTGGGGTTTAGTTTGATCGTCATGTATGATGCTATCGGCGTTCGCCGCCATGCTGGAATGCAGGCAGAGGTAATTACTAATTAATCATCCTTTCTCTATATTATTCATTGCCTTTACTCTATGATCAATTATGTAGGATCCTTGGCAGTTCAGTTGTAACTATTTCGAATTCGAACAACTCTCTATCATCATCTCTGTGTCTGATCTAGTAAAATGACAAACAGAATATGGTTGCATTTACTGCACAGAAGTTGTCCTGCATTATGTTCATTTTGGATAAAATAGCTATTGCCGTATGAATACATATATTAAAGGATGTATCTGGCAGTTCGACGTGGGGTATGCATATAAAATATACGAACACTACTATTATAAGCAAATTTGTAATCTTTGGACTTAATGAGGAAACTTATGTTGGCAAGTGAATGCCTGCTGTTGTAAGCTTTGTAAATGAATGGGGGCTTTCTAGTGACCAGGCTAGTCACTAGAATATGTCTATAAAGGGCGAGGGAGAGGTTTTATTACATGCGGAAGAGGAAGAAGGATTCTAGTGAACCCTATAATTGAAATGTGGTGTTTTTATCATTAACCCTTGGAAGAATCTGTATTGTCTTTACATGTCGATATATGAATTTGTTTTATTTTTCTTTACTTCCCATCAATTTGTAGTTGATGTTTTTAGCTAATTTTCAACGCTAGTTTCAGGAGATCTTGATGTATAAAAATGTTAGCTTAGAACCTTGGCGCGTGAAAGTAATATTTACAGTGTCTTTGTGAAGGGAGATTGATATGTGACCATAGTTTTGCAATACGGGCGCTAGGTGTTGTGTATCAAAAGCTAATAATGATTATACCATCTTGACCGCTTAATTATTAACCTACAAAAGTGATTGTGTATTCCGATCTGAATTCATTTATCATTAGAGAATCTATGGTTGTTAATAATTGCTAGTTCAACAAATCCGCGAACTAAAAATGGTGTGTTATGGCCTGTTGAGTGTTGTGAGCAAGTCTTCTGGTTTTTGCTATGCGAAATTAGTGTGGTCGGATGGAGATGTCACATCGTTGCGCCTTTACTAGTAAACTGCAGGTGGCGAAGGCATTTGAAAATATACATGTTGTTAGTCGAATGAACACAATAATATCTTATCTGATCTTAGTTTGGATTATATTATTTTGAGACAGTAATGTTGAATCGAAATGTATGTATGTAGGTTCTAAATGTGATTGTGGAGGACTTGTTCCAAGGGCACCCGCTGAGCCAACGCAAGCTGAAGGAACTCCTCGGCCACACTCCATCCCAAGTCTTTGCGGGCGCTCTGCTGGGCATCCTCGTAGCGTGGGCATGCTGCCATGCCTGCCTATATCTGCTATAATTATGACTACGATATAAATCAGCGAATAATCTTCGTTATTTGTTGATGAATATATATATATATATATATATGTAGACAGAGTTGTTGGGTTGGGAGTGATTATGTTTGTTGTGTAAGCATCTCACATCACATTTTGTATCACTAACTGCTTATAGTCAATCAATGGATATCTATCCATCTTCCTCCTTCGCTTGCTTCTGTTTGTGATATATGTATAACATTTGGTCTGCTTGCAACATTAGGTTTAAGTTTTTTTCTCCTCAGTCACCCTTCAATTATTTCAGGAAGAAATGCATGCATTCACCATAACTAGCTTGAGAATTCAAAATTAAGAGATGAATACAATATAATACTACGGTCGTCCGACTCTAAAAATTACATTTACTTTTTGTGTGTTGATCTATAAAGATTAATTACCACATCAAAATTTAGTATAAATTATGAAAAAAATGTAAAAATACTTACACTGTAACATTTGTACAAAAAATTATACTTTTTCCGTCCGTTCATATTTGGAATAACTATTGTCCTATTTCCTTTTTTAAACACAAAATTTACATTTGTACCTCATTCATTTATTATTTTTAATCTCTATCATACAATTAAGGACAAATTTGTCAATTCATAACAAAAAGACAATCAACTAAAAAACGGTGCAGGGAATATTATATAAAGATATTTTTAATGTGAAGTACAGTGACCCGCAGATGGAGGGAGTATAAACTACCAACTAACAGCAGTATGTCCTCAACATTATAACATGTATATAAAACAAAAACAAATAAGATCCAACAATAAACCAGCTACATGAATCAAAATGGAATGAGAATTCTGGCACCAAAAGGGCTACAACAAAGTCTGTATAACTAATCTTCCAGAACCACATATGACAACATATATACCCAAAAAAAAAAATTAATAATAATTTTAATCACTGTACTTACTGGTCAATAGACATTCTTTCCTAACCTGGAAGTAAAAGCTATATATATATTATCAAAACCTTTGGCATAAGATTACCATATTGGTGTAGTAAGCATTATAGTTTTACCTAGTAAACAATAATATTCATATCAATTGCCGAACAGCCGCCGACTGCTGTGGGGAATTGTTCTTATCTGAAAATGATTCTGTGAGCTTCTCTTTAGTTAGCTTTTCCGATCCATGAGACTTGACAATAAAAATGTGAAACACCTTGTCGTTTGCAGTAGCAAGTTTTGCATCAATGATAGTTGCCTGTGCATCATTTATAGCCCGCACGATCCTTGATACAGGGTGGGTATCCAACGGGCAGCTCACCCTCACGGTAACTTCTCCATCGTGGTTGGTCTGGATGTCGATGCTGGGAACCCATGATGGGATTTCGGCATCTGAAGCTGAGACTTCCGTGGACATGATGCTTCCTTGCCTTTCCCTCTCCGACTCCATGTCCTTCAGCTTCTTCTGCAGTTCGGTTATGTAAGTAACAGCATCTCCCAGAAGGGAGGCTTTGTCCATCTTGGAAATATTCGGAACAACTGCTCTAAGCGCATAGAATCGCTGGTTTAATTTCTCTCGTCGCTGCCTCTCTGCCTCGACATGATTTAGGGGCTCCTCTCTTCCATTTGCTGGCTTCCGACCACGCTTCCTAGGTCTCCTGTCTTCTGATATCCCCGCAGGCTCCTCCCTGCAGGAGATCTCAACGTCTGAATGCTCAGAGTCGACACTCTGCGGTTTGGGCATTGAGGGCGCTCCGCCAAAATCAATCTGCATTTGTGGGGATGACTTTTGACGCTGAAAAGTATGTCGATAATCATCCCTTGTTCTATTGGCAAGCTCGTGAAGGTTTTTGGCTGGGGACTGGGGTCTTTGAATCTCTACCATGCCGTCAGGCTTCAGTTTGCTGTATTTTGGCCATGCCGTAGAATGAAAACAATTCCGAATGTTGGTGAAAGGCATGACATTCTTGTTTGGTTGTGGTTCGGACTTCTTTTCATCTAATTTCCGGGCAGAAAGTGTTTCCCTAAACTGCAATTGACTAGAATATAAATCTTGCCCAAATATTTTGGGAACCATTTCGGCATGATTGCCAGCTGCCAAACTTGCAATTCGAGCATCCCCCTTTTTCGAGTCATTTATTGCCAAAGCCGGCAGGCCTTTCTTAGCACCAAAAAGTGGTGATGACGAAGAGAAGGAAGATTTAATGGCATTCAATAGCTCCATATCTTCGGGGATACATTTGACCGAACCCAATTCAACAACACCGACATCCGTTGGAATCAAAACAATGGTTTGCATGCCGGCAGACTTGACAAGAAATGATCGAACACAATATTCTACCGAAGTTTTCAAAACATCCGACAACCAGAGATGCTTCCCGGATCCAAAACACTTCCCAGGGCCCCCTTCCCCAGAGGGGAAGGAGAAGTACATCGACGCCAGGAACAAAATTTCGACATCAGTAACCTTATCCAATCCAAAAGCATAGCCATCCTCATCAGTTCCCCCGAACAAAATATGCAGCTTCTGGAGAACCCTTTTTCGCATTTTTTGGTGGTATTCACCCTCAAATTTGATTCTGAGAATACGTGTAACTTCAGAATCTTCATCTTCACGGGGCTCTCGACAGCACCCATCCCCCCACCCCAAAACCAAGTCTCCGGTTTTTGATCTTGAAAGCTGCCAAAAGATAGCGTAATTCCAACAGAAATTACTGGAATTTTGGTGCTCCACTAGATCTGAAAGCCAGTTCTGCAAATTCTCATCATTCCCCATTGTCATCAACGAGCAGTCAGCAGAGACTGAGCTTGAAATCAAGTAATCGAAAGCCTTAGTCCCCAAAACTGCAGCCGCCATGGCCTTATCCTCATTATTCCACCCAACATCCGCCATACCAAATCCTACCTTCATAACACACAACGTCCCACACAAATTGGAAAACAACAACCCCAACTCTTTCAACAGAAGAAACACAACACAAATCTAGTCCTCCCTGTGTCGAACACCGAATAATCACAGAAATTTGTGCAAGGCGCACTAAAACCCATCCAATAATACTCTCCCGCTAGATCCCCAACCAACTAGACAGCCACAGCACTCACTCCGAGATCTCAAACACCACAAATCTACAGGAACATGCATTGCGAAAACATCATTTATACACACAGAACCGCAAAATCAAATCACGAAACGAAACGGAAAGAGAAAGAAAAGAAACTGCTCACCATCATCATATCATCCTGGGTTCCCGAATTGGCAACAAAACCACTGACCTAAGGATCTGCTAGATAGATGAAACCAAGCTTGTTTCGTTTTGTTTCCTTGTTGAAGAAAATGGGGGCTAAATTGGCTTCCGATCCGATCCGATCCGCCCAAGTCCAACCGCTGCATGTGCGCCCGTGGTTTGTATATTAACCCTGGTTAGCCGCTTAGGTTAAAAGATTAGGGTGAAATCAAATCAAATCAAATCAAATCAAATCAATTTTCAACATAGCCGCCGATCATTTTGGATTTCAACATTTTATTTTATTTTATTTTTAATAAATAATAATAATACTAATAATCAATAATAAAAATAACAATAATAAAACAGTGTCATTCTTATTTATAGCGTTATTTGAATGCTTTGAAAATCGATTAATTATACATAAATATCTAAAACCGCGTTTTAAATATGTCTTGCACAAATTATAATTATAATTGACCAGGAAAAACGAAAGGAACCTAATTAGCATTTATTTATTTATTTTAAGATAAAAAGGAATCTAAAGGAACTGCATAAGAAAAGCATGACATACTGTGCTATGTTTTCTTTCCTTCCAAATAACCAAACAAACAGAAAGAAAATGTGCTGCAGTGCCAGGGATAATTATTTTTGGCTTTCTTTCTTTTTTATTTTATATATTTGAAAAGTAAAATACTGTTCAGATTAAAATTAAATACCTAATTCTAAATCTAAATCAAACACACCTCTTATTTCTTTTAATTTTTCACGGGAACTTCCAAGTTATAATCAATATATATCTCCGTATTTTATTTTATAACTCACTTAGAAAAAATATATATATATCTCCAAAATAGAAATAAATAAATATTTAAATATTTTATTTTTTATAATTTTTATATTAATAATATATATCAAATTGAAATTTTACTTGTATAAAATTTTATTTTTTATAAGAGTATATCTGTAAATTAATATACTTCTTTCGTCCACTAAATATCCTTGTATCGTGTATATATAAGAGTATATCTGTAAATTAATATACTTCTTTCGTCCACTAAATATCCTTGTATCGTGTATATATAAGAGTATATCTGTAAATTAATATACTTCCTCCGTCCACTAAATATCCTTGTATCGTGTATATATAAGAGTATATCTGTAAATTAATATACTTCCTCCGTCCACTAAATATCCTTGTATCGTGTATATATAAGAGTATATCTGTAAATTAATATACTTCCTCCGTCCACTAAATATCCTTGTATCGTGTATATAAAGGTGGTGGCATTTATATAATATATGATAGATAGTAGAAAATAATACCTTATTTTGAGACGGATGAAAATAAGAAATAGAATCCTTTTAAGGCAGAAGGAATATATAATTTGATATCATTTTAATATGTTATTTAAATATAATTTTATAAATATTTTATTTTATATTAATAATTTAGTTTTAAAAAATCTCTAATATTCAAAAAAAAATAAAAAATAAAAAATAAAAAATAATCCCAAAGTCACCGGATGAGCTTGGTGTTTGGATAAGGAAAAAAAGGGTGAAGTATAAATGAGTGGGTGGATGGTGTTGGGAGGGAGAGTGGTCCCCGAGCGAAGAGCAGAGAAAGCGCGTGGGTACTGTAGGACACGTGTGATAAATGTGTAATGATGATGGAAACACGTGTCGATGAGAAATCACGTGGCTGGCGGGAGGGAGGCACGTGAAAGAAGTGCCTTGGCTTCAAGGCTTTCATGGGCTGGTTGGTCGGCGGGCTCAACCATTCATTGTATTTGGGTGTTTAAAAGAAAAAAGTTAAAATGTAGTTAGGTTCGAGTTTTAAATTATATTTTTGAATTGTAATACCTCATTCGTTTCAAATTAATTTTTTTTTTTTAAAAAAATTGTAATAAATTAAAAAATAAATAAAATTTTATTATCTCTATCAAGTTCTAAAGTCACTTTTTTTTTTTCTTCGTATTAATTTTTTAATATTAATTATTATATCAAAATATAATACAAATTAAAAAAAATTTCAAAAATATTTTTATTAATGTCTTATAATACTAACAAAAGAAAATTTGCACAAAAAATTATACAAATATTATGATATTTTTAATATTAAATACAATAACACAAAATGTAAATGTAGTCATTACGGGCGAACGGAGGGAATATTAGTTAGTGGAAGTGTATAAATTTTTTTGATTTCTATAACTTTTCACTTTATGTATTAAGTAATTTAATGATATGCTTGTAATTTAAATAAAAGTTACGGATATTTTGATATTAATATATTAGTATTACTTTTTCTAAAATAAGAAATAAATATTTTGAAATTAGACATTGGAAAAGAATGAGTATTTTATATATCGATTAGTTCAGCCTATTTATATATATATTTTTATTTTGAGTTGTTCAGTGATTATATTATTTTTTTTAGTAAATATGAATCATATTTTTATTTTATTATAGCATCATTACTTTTACACAAAATAAATATAAATTATTTTTATATTACTTTAAACTATTCACTACTATTATAAAATTATTATTATTTCTTAAGTTCATCTCCAAAATTAAATGTATACTTTTAAAATGAATCAAGAGTATATTAATTTGATATTTTAAATAAAAAATATTTTTAAAAAGTAACATAAAAAACATAAAATTTTCATTTTATATATTTTAGAAGAAAAAATTTAAAGACATTGGATTTGGATATCGATTACTAACCTTTGGAGCACAACCAATAGCTATTGGCACTCCATAAAAAGAATCAACCAAACACAATCTTTATAATTTATAAACACCCAACAACTATTATACATTTGTGGTTTGAATTTTAAAATTTGAAATTTAAATAATAAGAATTTTGAATTTAATAATTGTATAATATGATATAAATATAAATATTTTTTTAAAAATATAAAATTAATTTTTAATATAATAATATAAAAATTTTAAAAAATAAGTATTTCTTTTGATATTTAAAAAAAAAATATATTTTGATAATAATAAGATTTGGATCAAAAATTTTCAAAAGAGCGCCATTTTTTTTTTTTTTCCATCGCTAAGGATGTTTCTTTCTAAGGGTGTGTTTTTTTCATCTTGTTTTAAAAGAAAATTACTATTTAAATTTTTTATTATTTAAAAAAAAAAAAAACAATTTCATCACATAAAATATTTAATTAAGTATTATTTAAATTTAAAACCTAAATCAAATTTTTTAAAATCAAACCCAACTAAATCTGCCATTCTTTCATGTGTTATTTTATTAATATAAATACAAAATATATATATATATATATTTACACAAAATATATCTTTTTTCTACATCTAACTATTTATTTATCCATTTGTCATTTCGTTCATAATTAATTTATCTATTTTTCTTTTAACTAAATTTATTTTTCATTTAAATAAAAATATATATTTACTTTTCATGTAATATGGCATAAATATCATCAAATAAGTTTAATTACATTTCAAAATAAATACCTCTAAATAATATTACTACACCAAATCATAATTACTTATTCACTAAACAAGTGTTTCACGGTTTGCGTGATAAATGTATAATACATCACAAAAGCCTCTCTTATTTCTCGTATGGATCTTTAAAATTTTTAAATTTTTTTTTTTACTCTGATGCCGTCCATTCTTTCTACCCAAAATCCTACAATCTCCTTTCAACCTCATTCACTGCCAACAAAGGAAGGATATTCACAATTGAAATTGTTTCGTTTGTGACAAACAGTGGGTTTTGAAGGTTGTGTTACAGTTTCAATTCATTGGCCGGATTCAAGAGACCCTGACGGCTCCTCGATTCTGAATTTGACCTTATCTATATTGTTGACTACGTATTCAACTTTCGACTATTTTATGTCCCTGACTCTGAGCCGGAGTTTGAAATTGGGCTCACCAGTGTCGGAGACCATCATAGCCGATCTCTTTTCCGAAGCTTCACACAGAAAAACTAGTTAGAATCGAGACGGTTTCCTTAAGCAACTGTTCCATCTATGCAATATTGTTATCTTTCCTTAAACATCTACTACCCTCTCGTCCTAGACTTTTCAGAGTACCGTGAAGGAGGTGAAGCTGTTTTAAACTTTTTGTTTTTTTATATTTTCTGTTTGTTAGGTAAACTTAGGTTTTATAAGTTTATTTTATAATAATTTGTTTGTTTGTGTAATTAACAATTTATTTCTTTTTGTTTCTCTGGGTTTGGTAGAAAACGCTTGAAATAGTTGTTCACTATGTCTCTTCACAGAAACTTCGATCATTGTGTTGAGGTATACTTTTACTATGTTCTTAAGTATGTAACTCGAGATGATGATTTTATGTGGTATGTTAGTTATAATTTACAACGATTGTGTCACTTATATGAGGTTTTGAAGACTTAAACGTCGTATAATGTCATCCCTTTTATTACGTGAGCACTATACCTTTCATTGAGTAATTTAATAATAGAAACACTAGGCGATCATTCATTTGTGAGTGTGCAATTTTGTTGTCCCAACAAAATAATATGTTTTTGCCCCGTACTCGATGAGACTATAATATGAGAGTGGATTACATGTGTGTATCTCATTAAAAATTTTGGAACATGATAATTATTTGAATCAGTTCTTTTAGCCAAAAATGTCCAAAATTACTCATGTCTCTCAGTCAATGATGATGCCTTAATCTGAGAGTGAAAATCTTCACCCGTGTATTATAATTGAGCCTACCCACAACTATTCGATATTCAATGATTGATGAGAGAGAGTTGTGGCTCCAATAATAAGACAATTATCTTCTTCCTCTATCCCCCACAAATTACTCTGTTTAATTTTTCATACAAATTACTCTGTTTAATTTTTCATTACAACCGAAAACTAATTGTGATTCTATAGCTTGTTTGAATTTGGAGAAAAGGTCCTTTACATATTTGAACTTACATACTACTGCTAACTTTGATTCTACTATGCAAAAAGTCAAAGTTTTACAAAAACAATCATTTGATTTTACAACATCAAACTATTCTTTTGCTGAATTGAAAATATCTTACTATGCATCAATTCATTTTCTCGATAGTCGCAATAAATTCTTCATATTTTGTGCTTTATTTGCTTATATAAGTATGTCAATGCACGTCATGATCACTTCTTGATCAATTTTCAAGTCTGTTAGGAGCATACATTTTCTTGTTAGTCCAAATTTTTCAACGTGGAGATTTTATAGTTGTTGCTTCTATTACAACTCATGATTTCCATAAGATACCCCTGTAAACTTAAGAAAATATTATTCAGTATTGTGTGACATAATCTTTTAAAAA